CTCCTTTCTAATATATGGCTCCCTCTCACTTCTCTAGTCCCTCCCACTTGTAGCAGTTGGGAATGTGTGAGCGTTTCCTTGGTTCTGTGCTTTTATTGAATTAATCTCCTGACTGTGACTCCTGGGACGACATTGTGACCTTGTACTAATGGCCTCCTTAGCCTGATGATGTGCCCCTGTCTTTGTCCCTTTTAAGACTTAATAAAGGCTCTCTTTACATTGTATTTGAGATTGGGTGCTCCTTTGTACCCTAAAGTTTGGTTAGCAGGAGTGATCCACTGTGCCACCAGGGTTCTAGGGATTGTGGTTAGTGATCTCAAAAAAGTCACTGTGAACTCACTGCCGACAGTTGATTCCAACTTGTATAGGTCAGACTAGTGCTGCCAAAAGCGGTCCACTCTTTAGTCTACCTTGCCACTTGCCGGTCAAGATGAACATAATATCACACAGACTCTTAGAGCGAGAGGACACTTCACCCCTAGTTTAACAAATGAGAAACAGGATTCAAAGACACTGATCAAGTGACTTACCCAAAACAAAGCCAAAATATTTGTTAGCAGCAAAGAACCAAAATCTTTAGATTCCCTGTCCAGGAATCTGAACCCACTGCCATTCAGTCAATTCCAACTCAGAGCCGCCCTAAAGAACTCAGTTCTACAGTAACTAACTGTGAAGGGTTTTTGTCAATCGAGGAGGGTAAAGATGGTCCTCTTCAGCTGGAAAGATACTGTTTTAGACTAGATGCAAGACACTAATGGTCATATGTCTACAACAGGCACACAATCTGACAGTACTTTGGGAGGGTTTAGAAATAGTTATGGATGGAAGATCTGTAACTGAAACATTAAACTTGAAAACAGGTTGAAATCAAAAGTTAATTTTAAGTAGTTTATTCAGAATTTGGAGCCCCTTCCCCCACCAAAGAAAAGTAACAAATTATGTGCCTGCTTACAACATATTGTTGAAATATTATGAATGGAGCACCCTAAACCAAATGCCATGAAAGGCTAGATACGGCCAGGGGAGTAAATACTGGGGAGGGCTCAAAGAGCAAGGCAGGGGAGGAGTCAAACATGGATCCCCGAGTCAGAGATTGATGATTAAGGACAACTAAGAATATTTAAAACCACATTTAACCTGTTAAGATCAGGGTCACAGATGAGAGCTAGGTCTTACTCAAACAAGTTTCTTGGATCTAGCCGAGAAGAGATCAGTGAGGTACCTGAAACCTTGACTTCTCTGAAAGGAGAAGTCAACTCTTTTAAAAGGAAGAGGACGAGTTAAAGAAAACCCATCCAAGGTCCAGTCTCGCACCAAAGACTTGACAGGTGATTCCAATGTGGTCAAATGACTACTCGCATGTGGGTTGCTAGTTGTGCATTACTGATGCTTACACATTCCTGGAAGAGTGTTTTAAACGTTAGGCCTTAGTAGCAATTTTGTAGATTTCACGGGGGTTTCCTTAAATTTCAAGTCTGAAATGATAGGTTGGTTATCAATACAAGCAGAATTGACATATTTGGGGTGGGGGTGGGGGGCAGTTGATTTTCCAGGAACATCCAGGTGGCTTCGGGTAAATTTGAGTTTCTCACGAAACAAAGTGCCCTAAGTAAATCAAGTCACTTCTTATGTCTTGTCCCAGGGCCAAGACCGTGGTCAGCCTTAGGTTTCCCCAACCTAAAGGGCAAACTGCTGGTATTGGGGGGACCCCAAAGAGATGGCTAAGGGAGACCGGGGTGAGCGTACCACTCGGTCGCCTCTCTGGGACGCTGGCACCCTGCCCGCCCTCTGGGGCCTACCCCGCTCACCTAGGTGGCCTCCAACGACCGTGACGGCGATCTGGTCCATGAGCACGGCTCGGAAGCGCACGTCCTGCTCGGAGCAGCGCTGCCGGAGGGCGCGCAGGATCTGCACCTGCGGGTAGTCCTCGCGGATCCGCCGGTCCGTCAGGAACCACAGCTGGGAGCACATGGCGGCCGCGGGCTGCTC